TTCGTTGTAGGTTAGGGGTCCGGTCGGTACGTAGTCGTACGTAGAAGGAAACGGAAACGAACGAACTAACTACTAACTACTAGTAGTAGGTGGAGACGACCTCTCTCTCTCTCTCTCTCTCTCTCTCTCTCTCCACTTCTAACAAACAAAATAACTAACATAACATTCTGTCTCTGTCTCTCTCTGTCTCTGTCTCTCTCTCTCTCTCTCCATTCCTAACAAACAAAATAATAACATAACATTCTCTCTCTCTCTCTCTCTCTCTCCATTTCCAAACAAACAAAATAATACACAAACATTCTTTCTCTCTCTCTCTCTCTCCATTTCCATACAAACAAAATAATAAATTCAGATCTCTGATTTATAGAAGGAATCAATTACAATACCTTAAAATATTATGTAAGATTCAAATCCTGTAGTTTGTTGCGGTTGACCAAAACCCCATAGTATAAGGATACTGATTAAAAATGTTATCGCTCCGATATGTCTTACATATGTTTTGGACTTAAAATACTTAAGTGTCAAAAAGAAGTGGGAATTTTATCATCAGGTATTTCCTTGTTTGGTGGTTTGAATGGAAATAGATGTGATTTATGTTATCGGGCTGGCATCCTTTCCTTTTTAATAAGTATTTGTCCTTATGTTTCTCTTCTAAGATGCTTTTCCAAGAGACATTTGAATAATTTTGTTTATTTTATGGGAAATTGGATAATTTGTACACCAGGAAGACTTCTCCGGAATGTGCAACCTGAACTAATGGAAAATCTCATCCAGGCCACGAAAGATGGAGACCATGCTAAACTACACGCTTTGTCTGGTCAAAGGACACAAACCATTGTAAATGAAGAGGAAATACAAGAGGAAGAAGATGAGGAAGAGGAAACTGATATTGAAGAGGAGGTGGAAAAATAGAGATAATTCTCATGTTATTTTTCTTGTTTATTTTGGTATGAATGCTTTTCTTATTAGTCTAGCTTGAAGCACATTGTTCATTAAATGAACACAATGGAAGAAGAGTTGAAATTACTGATAAAGACATTGGTTATCTATATGGTTGAGCATCAATGTAGTACTTGCATGATCTAGAAGACAAGGAAGTTCTAGACTTTAATTATCAAGAAAAGGAAAAAAAGATACGATTTTAGGTATTTACTTTTCTTGTTACACACTTTTGCAGGCACACCCGAAGTATATAGAACTGGCTGACAGATGGTTTCAAGGATTAATTAACAAGAATTCATCCATCACTAATGAAGTGTATTCAGTTCAAGATGTTGATTTTGATCGTCAGGTATATTGGAACATCGTGTTATCCTGTGACCGTGTATATTTTTTCATAGATGGTATCAAGGAATGAAAAACTTCGTGTCATATATGTGGCATAGTCAAATCTAAACGAGATCCTTGTACAAACCTTGTTGAGCATATGCTGGTGACAGATTTGCACTGTACAAAATGCTAAATTACGAGTGAAGAAAATAAAAGATAAAAGAGAACATTACCAAAACAATATTGGATAATATTTCATCTAGAAATACATATGATGATTTAGTTTTCTAAAGACACAACTTACTGAACCAACTTGGGACCTGCCAAACCGACTTGTACCATGTCCTGTCTCAGTTTTGGAGCAACGGTGCATACATTACAGAAGAATAAAACAAATTGAAAGCCACATCCCTCTTTAAGAAATTGCTTGCTGTAGGATCTTAAGAGCAATAGAATCAATTAAACTTGTAAAATGCATATTATCAAAAAGAAGTCTTGTAAAATGTGTTAGTGAACTGAAGGCATTAGTGAACCCGAAGAACGAAGGCTTGCCTCACCTTCAAGATCCAGCTCTTACCAGGTTGAGCTCCTGATACTAGTCAAGAATCTTTGTGTATATCCATCTACACACAGACGCACACGATGTACTGAGTGTGCTTCTCTAGGATCATGATTTAAAATAAACCATGAGGCCACCACAATAGCATGTGCAAAATTTCAGTAGGCACTCAACAAGTGGGTGAGTCCCCTCCAAAGCATCTTATGAAATTAACAAACTGTAGTCGACTAGCAAAGGATCTTTCACAACTTGTGAAGCACAAGATCCATTTCCAAGATTCCTGCACCAGTTTCTTGGGTAAATTAGATGGCAGTTTTGTATTTGTGTTTCATTTTATTAGTGTTTTTTTATGGTTCAGTTTTAGAAGAAAATCTCAAGATGGGTTGATAGCCATTCATGTCCTCTCTTAGGCTCAAGGCTCCTTATAATTAAAAATGATGAGAGGCTTTAGAAAAACAAAAGACAACAGAAGAATATGCTAGCATAGTGGAGACCAAAACAATTTCTTGTTAATCATCCTGCTCACATTCTGTATGTGCGTATAACCCCCTGTAGAGACCCATTTATATCTTTCAACCTCTGCATATCATGTGATTATAATGTATAGGTAAGCAGGGTCTTGTTCACAACCAGATAGTGACTTGGAAACAGACCTGCTTAATTAGGAGAGAGGGCTAGAAACTGATTTTTAATCATAGACATGTGCCAAAAAGATTGCTATGTGTATTTAGCTTCTTCCTTTAATGGCACATATGTTGGGCTTTTGAACTCCTGTTAAAGCCATAGGAGGTTGCAGTCTCATGAAACCTTAACATTTATTGGATCAGAAGGTCAGACTGACACTTCTACATAAGAATTTTTACATAATGCAACTGTTAAGTATCTCAAGGTCTCTTTCTCCTACAAGCTCACTTTCTGGTAACTTTCTTATACAGATATCCTAGTTCACTCAAGAACCCCATAAGTTCTACAGTTTCATCCTCCTCCAAAAGTCCTACCCGAAGGAAACACCAGACGACATCAGTACCTTCAAGCAAGAAACCATGGCACTTAGATGACCATACTCTTCCTACGTCTCTTCACCAAAACACCGATTCTACCAAAGCACGCATTCATTTCCACACCAATAACAATGATCAATCCCATTCAAGGTTGTCCATATGGCCGTTGATGGCCTTAAGTTCCCTGAGCTATTCTCACCATTTCCTACCCGAAATAGTCGTCCCTCATATTTCTTGTTCAATATCTGTGTCCAAAGGCTCTAGCTGTCATCCCTAAAATGAAGCACCTCGGGAAAAGAAAATCATCTGGTTTGAGTTGACACTTTTTCTGTTCGCAACCACTTTGGCATTTAACTAGCAACATCTTTTTGCTATGCATCAAGTGGTATCTACACCTTTTTGGATTTTCACACACGAAAAGTGGCAGTGGTTCCCTAAAGCTCCCCCAAAATGTATGGTGTGCTATCAACAAAATGCAGATGTGAAGTTCTCTTTGCATGACTTTTAATGGCCACATTTAACCATGAAAATGGCCTCTTGAAGAACCATCTATTGTCGAATCCCTCTATTGTGTTTCGAGTGCTTAGTCAAAGCCTTGCTTTCATTTTATTACATATGTTGTTTGCTTTTTGGATTTTTTTTTCCAGGAGTTACGAAAGCTTGTTCGAAGAGTGCAGACTATGCAGGGGAGAACTGTTGATGATAGCGCGGCAGATTCTGAAGCAGCCTTGCGAGGAGCGAGAAAGTCTCTGAGTCGCTTCCTACGATCTCTTGCCAAACAAACCCTAATGGTTTAGATTACTAATAATCCTCATTTCTTCCATTTTTTATTTTCTCTTTCTTGTATAACATCACCTGACAGAAAAGGAAATATGAGAAAAATGCAGTGAAATTGGTCACTCATTGTGTACTCGTAATTTATTATGGAACATATATATCAAATCTGAATTTCAATATATGGAATTCATGATATAAGTAGCATCATTTCTTGATATTAGAAACAAAGTCGATTTATTCACTCAAGTATGGATACAAAGTCGATTTATCCCTCTCAGTCAAGTAACGATTTCCCATGTCTATTTTTAATAGATAAAATGTGGATTAAGAAGAGAAATATGTATTAATCTCACCTCTCACCCCTAAATCTCTCTCCCCTATCTTATTCTTGAAATTAAGTATTGATTAATATATAAATTTTTATCACTCTTTTGTTTATAATAAGATTAATGCTTCTTGAGTATGCCTAGATATAGACATTAATAGGATCTAATGTCTTAAACTAATATATTGGATATACCCTGCATAAATTTATTTCTTAGTTTTATTTATATAATTTAATTGATTTTTAAATGATCTTTATTATTTTAAAAATAATATTTACTATCAAATAAATTCATGATATTAGTAGCATAAATCGACTTTGTTTCTATCTCAATTTTGCCATTTAAATTTTTTTTTTCTAATAAAGAGTTCAAAAGAGGCAATAATACATTTAGAAAATAGCTAGAGAAAGCTATTATTGTCATAAAAAAAACTAATGTAATGTTAAAATATTCATAAAAAATTAAAATATAACAAAATGTCGTTAAAATCATAAAGGGTGAAATTGAGACATAAGAATCAAGAAGGAAAAAAAAATCATTTTTTCCATTGGCATTTAAGATCGATGGGCTTTATGTTATATGATAAAAATAATTTATAAGATAAAATTAAAATATTATTTCATAATAGAGGCATAATACAATTGAAAAATAGCAAAAGAAAGCTAGAAGAGACAATAGCATAAATAAATAAAATATAGGCAATCAAAATAAAATAATAATAATATTATCAATAAATAATAATAAGTATTATTTTATTCTTATGTTCAAATTTATAATTAAAAAATTAAAACTATTCAAGAATCTAAATCCTTAGTTTTTTCGTTCTAATTGAGTTTCACGACCTATGAGATAGATCAAACCATTTATTTTCTACATGTAAAATGTCATAGTACGATTTGAAAAAGGGTAAGCTTTCTATGAAACTTATATACTTCCAACCGTCCATTCTAAATGGAAGGTTAAGATTGTCCTAATCACAATGCCACATCTCTACACTATTTTATTTTTAATTGTTTTTGTATAAACCATTTTGACACCAAATTTTGGACATTTAATCTTATATATTCGCACTAGCTAAAAATAATTATTTTCAATAAAATAAAATAACCAAAATACCCCTAAAAATTTTAAGGGGTATTTTATTTATTATATTTTATTGAAAAATTATTTTTAATATTTTTTATAGATGCGCTCCAATAAGAAAATGGCACATACCAAATTTTGTATTCATACAATTTGTATAAAAAAAACTAAAAAAAAAAAATATTTTGAGACGTCGGATCTAATATCAAACGGTGAGTGGCTATCTTGATCAAAATTGGACGGCTGGATGGTAGGGGAAGCATAGATCTTCTATGTTGTAGGGGAAGCATAGAAACCTTTCCATTTGAAAAATATGCCATTATTTTATTACTATGTTCAAGTTTTTAATAAAAAATTAGAACTATTTAAGAATCTAAATATTATTACTATGTTCAAGTTTATAATAAAAAATTAGAATTATTCAAGAATCTAAATATTTAATTTCTTCAATCTAATTGAGTTTCACAACCTAAAAGAGAGATCAAATCACTATTTTATTACTATAGTCTACAGAGAGATTATATATATTTTTTTACATAGTGGTCACAATCATTAAATGTCAAATTAAACGGTTTGAGGTGAGCCACAAAATGTAAGAATTTTTTTCTTTCGAGTTTTGTGTTTATTTAATGACACTTTTACAACTACCCATCGTGAAACTTAAGGGACACGAATGATTGTGGACCATGTATAAAAGATAAATAATCTTCGTGTAAACAATCTCGTGGCATAGTGAACCATTCCATTGGTTTAGGTTAGTGTCTTAAAAATTGGAGCACCAAGCAATCCGAGTCCACTTCAGGAGTTCAAAGTCGGCTTCTTGACTCAAAGCATTAAGGATATCACCAAAAGGAATTTTTATGCAATCCGAGTCCACTTCAGGAGTTCAAAGTCGGCTTCTTGACTCAGAGCATTAAGGATATCCCAAAAGGAAATATTTGTTATTATGAAACTACTTAAAACTTTTTGTTATTACATTCATGTTCATTTTGTAAAGTTCAGATCATTTTTCATTTTTTTTTGCAAAGAAATAAGACTATCAACTTCAAATTTTCAAAACATGGTCCTGATTTCAGTTTTTGAAAACCCAAAATGCAGCCCTTTCCTCATACTTTACTGGTTTTTGGCAGACAACTCTCGAGTTCGATGACTGAGTTGTCTTTGCAGACAATACTTACTTTGGACGAAGAAGGTGAGTAGCAGAGATCAGCAGTGGTGTTCCAGGCATTCAATGCTGGTGGGCATTCAAGATACTTCCTCAGCTGCTAAGGATATGGGTTTGAGAGGTGGTTGTGAAATGGGAAGGAAGAAAACCCATGAAAAGAGAAGCACGACCGGTGCAAGGAAAGGTGCCATGCGTGAGTTTTTGCAGGAACAGAGTTGATTGAGGGAGAGAGAGAGAGAGACTTGTAAGGATTCTGCAATGAGGTTTAGGAGGGAAAGAGAGAAGAAAGCAGACTACTGTGCAAGTGGATTTTAGGTTTGAGTGGTATTCTGAAGAGCAGAGAGAGGGATTTTCCCAAATGCTTCTGGTTTCAATAGAAACTGAGAAATCCTCTGCGATGAGTTTAGAGAGCGACGGAAAATGTAAGTTTTTGTCAATAAGAATAGAGTGAGAGAGTGAATATTATCCCCAAAATATCCCAAATTTCATTGGAAAATGAGAGTTTGCCTGAAATATATTTGGTGCTTGAGCTGGGCTGTAGAGAGAGAGTGACACATGGAGTGTATTGATCTGGATGTAGATTGCTTGATTGATGGAGGTGGTTGCCGGCACCACGTCCACACTGACTTCTCCGATGCATCTTTTCTGATTGCCGCAATATTTATTTAATTATTTTATTAAGACTGCCGTTGGTGGCACCAGATTTTTAAAAAATACAAAAATAAAAATTCGGATTAATTTTGAATTATTTTAAAATCAAAATATTTAGTAATTTCGATTTTGAAAAATCAAAATATTTTCAATATTTCTGTTTTTCAAAAACCGAAAATAGGCGGTTTGTCTTTTTTTAAAAAAATATTATGAAATTAACGGAAACTAAAAGATATTTTTGTAATAACGATAAATATAACGGATATATACATAATTTTTACTAGAAATAATGTGTATCTCAAAAATCCAGTAGAGTATTTTGAAGTTGGAAAACTTTACAATTGATCATCTTGAGAGAAATGGGTTTCAAGTCCCAAAAATAATGTAATTTGTGTAACATGTTACGTAGACTTTCTATTTTTTAGATTTTCAAGTGTTTATAGATCTGATCAATCAATTTATAATTACGGTTCAACATAAATTTTCAATTTATCGTAAGATTTCCAACATTAAAACTATTTGTACAAGGAGCTCATTGTAAGAAATCTAACATAGCTCTCCTCGTTTACTTGGGCTTAGGACCGGCATAACAACAAGGGCCGGACAAGGCGGAGTTTATCAATTAATTTTTTTGATAAAATTTAAAATTTTGCCAGTTAAAAATATTAAATTTTTTTAGCAATGGACCTAGACCCGACTTGGGACCCAACGGACATACCCGACACGGGTTCATGTATGGATCCAACATTTAGACTCGCAGGTTGGGTCTAGGTCCAAAACCATGACTCAAACACTATTTGAGTCTGGGTGTGGGTGTGGGTCTGGTTTTGATTGGACCGAACCTTTACTCATAAACTGTTGGTGATAAAATACTTCAATTCATATTTGTTTGGGTGTATTAAGAATCATGTACAATAAGAATTTATGGTCATCTTTAACTATTAAACGAGAAATCAAACGGCTTTAAATATAGAAAAAGTATATAATGAGGCTATTTACTTTTGGTACAAGTCCGTCACAATTAATATTCACTATTATATATGAAATTGTGTGGCTGCATTTACTTCATTGACCAAGTTCAAAGTTCAAATTAAATTTTATCGTGACACAACCAAACAATGAGATTTTACAATGGATGGTTGCATTGTGTACAATCTCTTCAATTTAATTGCTAGTGATTGTGAAGTTATTGCCAATAGATGTATGTATTATAAAAATAAATAAACCATAACAGCGGCATTGGACTCAATCAGACTCGATGGGGACGAGTATGATCTAGGTTTGGACCTGAATACATTTAGGTCTGGGTCGATTCTAGGTCTGGGTCGAGTCTATGCCCAGGCGGACCCGACCCCTTGCCACCCCTATTCAAGAGAACCTTACTCTATACTTCCACGATCCCAATGTTTTAGAGAGAGAGAAACCCTGCGTTTAAAGGCAAAGAGAGAACTTGGCCAAGTTTAATTTTGAACTGAGGACTAGCAAAGTTGCAGCGAGAGAGTATGTGTAAAGTGGGGGTTTCTTCTACCCTCATGAACTTGTACTAGGTACGTTTTCCCTAATCTCTCTGTAACCTTTCCATTTCCTTTGTTTTTTCCTTGAGGTCTTATTCGGAAATGGTGTTATGGGCCCTTTTAATGTAAATGTCTTTTGCAAAACCCCATTCTTTCTCTCTCTACAAACCCCATTATCTCCTTTCCCTTGTCATACCACTTTCTTTTCCTTCTCCCCACCAACACTTTTCTTCAGGGCCATGTCCTCTCTCTTCTCCTCCGCGAATTATTGGGCTCCGTCTTCTTCATCTTGTATAGTTAATTTTCTTGTAGACTCTGTTGGGCTCTCAAGGGAATCAGCCATTGCTGCTTCTTCCCACCTTGGTAACTTGAAAACCCCTGAAAAGCCCCTCTCTGTAATAAACTTCCTCAAAAGCTCTGGTTTCAATGAAACCCACATTCATGATTTTATCAGGATACGACCCCAAGTTCTCAAATGCAGTGTAGAGAAAACCCTAAAACCAAGATTCGAATTGCTCCAAAGTTTGGGTCTTTCGGGTCCTGAACTCGCTTCTTTCCTCTCTTCTAGCCCATTCATCTTGTGCTACAGCATGGATAAACATCTTAAGCCATCCATCCTCTTCCTCAGAAGCTATTTCAACACCAATGAAGAATTTTTAAGTGCTATACAGCACTGTAAGCGCTACAAGATGGTTGTTCTGGGGAATATAATGAAACCCAACTTGGAGTTTTTGGAGAGCTGTGGCATTGCTAGGCCGACACTCCAGAAGTTCATGCTTAGCAGGCCAGGTTTTTTCTATCAGAGTACTGAGAGGCTTAAGCAGATCGAAGAGAGAGTTCGAGAGTTGGGTTGTGACCCAAAATCAAAGATGTTTGTCTATGCAATGTATGCCATGAGTTCGTTGAGCGAGAAGAAATGGAAGGCTAAGCTTGAGCTTTTGGAGAGTTTTGGTTTTTCAAAAGGAGAGGTCTTCACTATGTTTTCTAAGGCGCCATATTTGATGTCCCGATCAGAGGAAAGGTTAATGAAAGTTATGGATTACTTCCTCAATGAGCTCAAATATGATAAATCTTTCCTAGCTTCACGCCCAGTCTTGTTCTGTTATAGTTTAGAGAAAAGGGTGATTCCTAGGTTTAATGTGTTGCAAGCTTTGAGATCAAGTGCTTTGCTCACAAGGGATGTGAATTTATCAAATGTTTGTTTTATTTCGGAGGAGTCATTCTTGCAGAAGTATGTATTCAGTTTTGGGGAACAAGAGGAGTACCTGTTGAATATTTTTAAAGGAAATAGAGAAAATGATGAAATTGATGCTATGGCGAAGGCTTCGTCTTCTTCTCCTCTCTCGCTTCCTCTCACTGGTGATGAGGTAAACTTAATGTCTCCTTCTAATTCATCTCTCTCACCTCCTTGTAATAGTAAGGAAATGGCCTTATCATCAGCTTCTTTGAGGGTTAAACAACTGATAGACTCAGTTGACCTTTCAGAGGAGGCGGCAATTTCAATATCTCACCAATTTCTCCACTTTAAATCCCCTAAAAGGCCTCTCTTTGTGTTAAAATTCCTCAAAAACAGTGGTTTCCATGATACCCTTATCTCTAATATCGTCACCAAGGTTCCCCAAATTCTTACCACCACAACTCTAAAATCCAAATTCAAATTGCTACAAGATTTGGGTCTTTCTGGATCTGATCTTGGCATATTCCTCTCTTCAAATCCAGCTTTTATTACCTGTAGTACCAAGAAGCATCTTGAACCGTCCATGCTCTTTCTAAAGAGTATTTTGAAAACAAATGAAGACATTTTGAGTGTTCTAAAACGACATAGTCAGCATGTTATGGCCAACCCCAAGAAGGCATTGTTGCCCAACATAAGGTCTCTGCTGAGCTATGGAGTTGGTGCCTCCCAATTAGAGGAGTTCATGTTGGCAAAGCCTGCCAGTTTTACACAGGCACCCAAATGGTTTAAGGAGATCTTGGGAAAAATTAAGAAGTTGGGACTTGATTGTCAGAGTAACGTGTTCTCTCTCGCAGTTTTATGCATGTGTTCCCTGAGCAAGGATACATGGCAGAGTAAGCTGAAGACCTTTGAGAGTTTTGGGTGGTCAGAAGAAAATGTTCTATCTGTGTTTATCAGGAACCCTTTGTTACTGGAAATGTCAGAGAAGAAGTTGCAAAAGGTTATTTATGGTTTTATTAACATACTGAATTTCGATAAAGATTATTTGGTTTTGCACCCTTCTCTTCTTTGTTTTGATTTTGAGGGAAGAGTTCTTCCGAGGCATAAGGTGTTGCAGGCTTTGAAATCAAAGAATTTGGTTAAAAAGGATATAGGATTATCAGGCATTTGTGGACTGACAGAGGAGAAGTTTTTGCAGTATTTGTTGGGTTTTGGGGATGAAGCTGACTTTTTATTGAGGATTTATAACGCAAGCAAGGAGAACACGAGAATCAGTGGTGAAATGGGGGGTTAGAAGCCGCCTAGCTATCCAAGTCTGAAAATCATGTGTGGTTTGCAATTGGCTTCTCAAAATTTTCAAGAATTGTGCAGTGTGATCCTCATTATTTTGTGATATTCTAGATAGTTAACAAAGTTGTGATACGAGTCATTGGCCTCAGATGTTTATTATTTTGTCCCTTCTACTGCATCAAATTGAAGTTTCTTCTTCGTGATAGATTTTTTAGTTTGCTTGCATCTTTTTATTAATTTTTTGAAGTTCCCTTTGACAAGGGACCATAAATTACTCCATTGGCAATGTTTCACAGTAGGTGGGGGTAAATATTATCAAACCCTTTTGGTGAAGATATAAATTCATCATACGTTGAGAAGCTAGCGTCTGTCTAAGCTTGACGTAAAAGTTAATACCTTTAGTGGTACTGCTGTGAATAATATCCATAGTATAAACTTAAATTAGAAAGAAAGATGTTTATGATCTTCAGGTGTCTCTATCCATAGTATAAACTTAAATTGGAAAGAAAGATGTTTATGATCTTCAGGTCTCTTCGAACCGTTCTTTTCTTGTGCATATGGCACGGAAAAGGATCCTCCCTCTCGTTCTTTTCTTCAAGAACTATTTGCAGACCAGTGAGAATGCAGTTCGATTTCTTAAATCAGTCACTTGGGTTTTGGGTGGCATAATCAAGAGAGAGCGGTGATGTAAGGTTCATAGAGAGCTATGGAGCTGAGGGCTCGAAGTTAAGAACACTCGTATTGCATAACCATAGTTACTTTGCCTGAAGCCCAGTCGGTTTAAATATTCACCAAGAAAGTTAAAGGAATCGGTTCTTGATCCTCACTCTCAGATGTTTCCTACAGCAATCCTTATCACGAGTTCAACGAGCAAGGAGAGAGGGAGGCTAAGATTGATTGCTTTAGGGCCTCAACCTTATACAAACGACATACAAGGTCTTAGGGTGTCTAAATCACTCGATTTTTGTCTCTCTTTTTTTTGTAATTTAGGCTAGTTCTAAACCCAATGTCCAAATCCATCACCCCTTAAAAAAGCACAACTAAACATTTGAACCCACCCAAATTTTTTTTAAGTGGGAAATGGGTTTAGAATTGGCTCTCTAAACCTATCTCCCACTTTAAAGAAAAAAAAAAGTGTACAGGCATGGGTTGTAGAGGATAAAAATCAAGGTTTAAAAAAACGTAAGAAAGAAAAAATAATAATTCAGAAAACAATATTTATATGGTTTGATAAATTGTCTACGTCCATGGAGCAGCAAAATTATCTTGTACTAATCCAAAAAACACCTTATATGCTTGGAGAATCCTAGGCCTTACAATGTCTTTCTCACAAGTCTTAAAACATGTTTTTTCTCTCTCTAAAAAACTCATCTCAAGGCTACAGAAATAGGGAAAAGTTTCTATACTTCCTCTACAACATAGAAGATCTATGCTTCCCTTATTATCCAGCCGTCCAATTTTGATCTAGAGAGCCACTTGCCGTTTGATCTTACATCCGACGTCTCAAAGTATTTTATTTTTAGTTTTTTTTATACAAATTGTATGAATATGTAATTTAGTACGTGCCATCTTCTCATTGGGGCGTACCCATGAAAAATATTAAAAATAATTTTTCGATAAAATATAATGATCAAAATAACTTCTTGAAACTTTCAAAGGTATTTTGGTCATTTTGTTTTATTGAAAATACTTTTTTATATATTTTTTGTTAGTGCGAGTTTAATAAAGGATCGGACGTACAAAATTTAGTGTCAAATTAATTTATAGAAAAAAAATTAAAAATAAAATAGTGTAGAGACGTGACATTGTGATTGGGACAATCTTAGCCCTCCATTCAGAATGGAAGGTTGGATAAGGAGAAGCATATGAAAGGTTGGATAAGGAGAAGCATATAAGTTTTATGTTGTAGAAGAACCATAGAAAGGTTGCTCCTGTAAATATTAGAAACTTGGCTTCACGGTTTTAACACGGGTTCATATACATAATGTCTGGACCCTTTTACTAAATTTGTTTTAGAGTGGGAGACATATATTACAAAAAAAATAAAATTTAGAGTAAAAAAGATGTAAACATTGAGTGTTTGAACTCGAAAAAATACAATTGAGCTAGACATGTAATTTTCTGATCCAACCTACTTATTAACTCCCATTGGTGCCCCAATGGGAGGTTGTAATCGCTTTTGTGAACAAATGCGTTTTTTTGTATATCTATCCATTTTGGCACCACTGCATTTGGAGTGGATTTTCCCTAGCAATTTTGTATTTGGTTCTTTGAATTGGGCTTATGTTTCATTCTAGTGCACATTACATATGAGTTTTTGGATCAGGTCTCTCTCAAATAGGTTTTTGTTTGCATGTTTAAGATTCCGAAATAGTTATAAACTCTAGGGGGAGAGTTAGTATGCAGTTTCTATAGGCCTAGGTTTTAGGAAAATAAAGTACCTCTTCACCTTAAATTTTCGTTTGGAAATCACCTTAGGCATAAATCTCTACGATGGTTTTAAAATCATTTTAGACTTTAAAGCTCAAAAAATGATACAGATCTTACGTATTTGTGAACACTCATTTTTAGGTCGAAATAAATGGTCTTGCTAACGTGTTAAAATGTTTAAAATCTTAATTTTTTCTTCACAACTATAATGATCAAGACCGAGTTAGATTTGAAGGTTTTTTGGCACCAGAATTGCAATCTTCAAGGACTTTTGAGGCGGTGCTTTACTTGTTTCGATAGGGCTGCAACCCTTTCATTTTGAAAATTGGTAATTATAAAAAATATCTTTTTTTCAAAAATACAAAAAATACTCAAACTTTTTTGAAATCATCGCCCACACCCATTTTGTCGCGGTTTGTTTTTTTAACTAAAATTTCCTTCATGGACTTGATAAGGCTGTGAAGAGCCATCTCGAACCCAATGGTTCAATGATGATCCACAGACCTTCCACCCTAGTGATAAGCCGGTATCGTGTTCTCCACAATTATAAAAGTACCATGGTAGTCTTACCAGGACTAAGATGGTCCTTTAACGAATGAAAGGATGAGATTATGGCGTTATGGTAACTTATTTTATGGGGACTAGGAATGAAAGGATTACAAGGAATGAAAGGACTATCAAGGTCCTATGCTCTATTAACAAGGGAGAAAGTGTATAATGAGACCATTTACTTTTTGTACAATGTGCTCACAATTAATCTTGATCATTAGATGTGAAATTCGGTAGTTGCATTTATTTCATTGACTAAGCTTTAAGTTCAAATTTTTTTTTTTTGAACTTTGTGACACACCCAAGCTATTAGATTTTGTATCGAATGGACCTATAAAATTTTAGATCCAAAATCATTCTCAAAAATAGATTTTGGAGGGTGGACCGACTGCTATATGCGTGTCCTAAACCCGACCCAAAAATATATTTTATCCTTAGGGCAAGCTTTTTATGTTTCCCTACAGCATAAAACTTATATACTTCATCTTATCCAACCGTCCTGCATAAAACTTATATACTTCATCTTATCCAACCGTCCATTCTGAATGGAGGGTTAAGATTGCCCCAAACACAATGTCACGTCTCTACCCTATTTTATTTTTAATTTTTTTTCTATAAACTATTTTGAATCCAAATTTTGGATGTCCAATCCTCTATTAAACTCAGAGTAGCGAAAAATATAAAAATAATATTTTTATTAAAAAAGAGACCAAAATACCCATGAAAGTTTCAAAGGGTATTTGGGTCATTATATTTTATCAAAAAATCATTTTTAATATTGTTTTATAGGTGCGCCCCAATGAGAAGATGACATAAACCAAATTTCATATTCATAAAATTTGTATAAAAAAAGCTAAAAATAAAATACTTTAAGACATCGGATCTAAGATCAAACAGTGAGTGCCTCTCGTGATCAAAATTAGACGGCTGGAGGGTAGGAGAAACATAGATCTTCTGCCTTATCCTCAAATTAGTTACCAAGAACAAAATATATATATTAAACCTAGGTAAAAAGGTCATAATAGAATTTTGACCAGTCAAATGGGTCAATATGCCTACATGACATGCTTTGTGGGTGACTATGCCTCACACGAGCAAGATCCCATTTTGCTTAACCTTTCCCAATCTGAACATGAGCACAGGTGGAGGTTCGATGAACTCATTTTGACGCCCCTTATATCGGAAGAAGAGCATCACTAGAGATTTTGATGAATTCGTTTTAATACATGGGAGGAGACCAAACATAAGTGGTAAAAATTTATTGAAATTTTAGATAAATATTAAATTTATTTTAAAGAATATAGTAAGAAGAAATGTGATAGTAAGAATTTCTTAACTTTGCAAAATTTTTAGAGAAATATTATGTTTATTTTAGTAGTTAAGAAAAATGTTTTGGAGATGATTTGTAAAAATATTTTAAATCAAGAATCTTAGTTTTGTTAAATATTAGTAAATTAAATTAAAAAAAAAACATTTGAAATGATATTATTTTAATAGAGAAGCATGAAATTTGCATAAAAGTGAATTTTTATAATGGTTTTATTTACCCAATCCTAAACGACTCATCCACTGATTTCACCCGTTCCTCGTGCATGGAAATGGATTAGCCTCATACTCGTCCACTGATTTCATCTGCTCATTGTACATGGAAATGGATTAGGTGGGAATTTCATCTGCTCCTCTTATATATGGGAATGGATGATACAGAGGGTTGGGATGATACAGAGAGAGATGGAGGAGTAAATACAGATGGAATGGATTAATTCCATCCTCCGGACACAGATCCAGGGTTAGAGGAGTAAACACAGAGGGTTGGAGGAGTAAATACAGAGGGTTAGAGAAGGTTTCATTCACTCGTTAACATTTTATCGCCTGACCAGTTCTCGTAATTTTTTTACGGGATTGGGTTGGAGAGAGAGTGTTATCCACTCGCCTGATTTCATCATCCACTGGTTTCATCATCCACACCCACATCCCACTTCATCCTCAACCACCTCATCCACGGCTTACATCCTATAGTCCGTTTCATCCTCTGATTTCATCCACTGATTTCATCTTACCAGATACATAGAGTTGAAAAAGGTTTCAATAAGATATGGTTTCAATAAAGTTTCATCTATTGATCATCCCATCCCAAAAATCTCCTCATTGAATTCATCCACAAGATACATTTTACAGGGTTAGGGAGACTTTTATCCACTCATCTCATTTCATCAACTGATTTCATCTTCTGTTTCGTCTCATTTCTTGAACTGATTTCATCCTCTGTTTCATCCTTTGGATACAGAGTGTTCATCCCATCCACTGATTTCATCCTCTGTTTCATCTTGATTTCATCCTCTTTTGGATACAGAGTGTTCATCCCATCCACTGATTTCATCCTTTGGATACAGAGTGTTCATCCCATCCACTGATTTCATCCTCTGTTTGATACTTCATCCACTGATTTACTCAGTTGCTAATCATGTACAGTTACTAATCATGTACAGGGATCTACAGAGTTGGAGAGATTTTACTTAGTTACTAATCATGTACAGTGATCTACAGAGTTGAGAGATTTCACCAGGTTGGAGAGATTATACACTCGATTGATTGTTGATCATCTCAAAATCTCATCATTCATCATATCTGTATACAGAGGGTGGGAGGGATCTACAAAATTTCACTCGATTGATTATTGATTATTCCAAAATCTCATTATACACTCGATTAATGATTGATTATTCCAAAATCTCATATACGCTCGATTGATTATTGATTATTCCAAAATCTCATTATACACTCGATTGATTATTGATTATTCCAAAATCTCATTATATACATATGTATATGTATAATGAGGGCAGGAGAGAATCTCATCAATTCATATGTAATAATGAGGGCGGGGGAGAATCTCATCAATTCATCTGTATACAAATTCATACAAATTCATCTTCATCTGTATACAAAGGGTGTAATTCATCTGTATACAAAGGGCGATTGATTATTGATTATCCCAAAATCTCATTATTGATGTGTATAATATTATTGATATGTATAATGAGGGTGGGAGAGACTCTCATCAATTCATCCGGGGTTGGAGAGTGAAATCACTCGATTGATTATCCGAAAATCTTATCATTCGTATGTATACAGAGGGCAGGAGAGGGGCGGGACGGATCTACAGGGTTGTCTACAGGGATTTCACTCGATTGATTATCCCAAATCTCATCATTCATATGTATACAGAGGGAGGGAGGGAGGGAGGGAGGGAGGGAGGACGGGAGATACAGAGGGCGGGAGGGAGGGATACAGGGTTCGAGAGATTTCACTCGATTGATTTGATTATCGATCTACAGGGTTGGAGATGATTATCCCAAATTGATTATCGATCTACAGGGTTGGAGATGATTATCCCAAAATCTCCTATCAAGTATACAGAGGGTTTCATATACAGAGGGAGGGAGATAGAGAGAGGTTTCATCTAGATTGAGCATCCCCAAAACCTCCTCATTGTTGCCAATGATGTAACGAGCTTCTCAAAAGATTTGCTAATGATCTAATGAGCAAATGTAATGATTTTAGATAATCTAATGAGTAATGATTTTAGTGATAAAATATTTGTAATTTCAAATTTTTTAATTATTCTTACACGACGAAAATCTCCATATTTCTAAATAGCCACCCCCAAACTAGAGCATACACACCAATTATCAATGTTTATACCTGTACGGGATGCTCAACACTCAAGTAACTAGTATCGCAGTAAGTTCCAAATAACCATATCAAAACAGTTCTTCACGCAAACTAATAAAATGACTCTCTCTCCTCTCTAAATTTTCATCTAATTTAGATGCGCAAAAACTAATAAAATAACTCTCTCCTCTCTAAATTTTGATCAAATATAGATGCCACATTCATCTGATTTCATCTTACCCATTCAAAATCACAATATATCAAATTTCAGGTCTTGCGCATCTCATGATAGAACTCGAAAGATACATTAAAGTATAAAGCAAAATGCAATCAAATTACCAGCCCTACGCATCTCAGCAAAAAGAAAAATACAGACAGAAATCTAAAAGCATACATTTTAGAAAAGACCTCGGATGATACATTGCTGAGAAAAATACAGACAGAAATCTAAAAGCATACGTTTTAGAAAAGACCTCGGATGATACATTCATCTAGTTTCAACAGTTCTGTTTCTAATTCTTGCAATATCAAGGCTAAAGAAAATTGCTTTCAATTATTCCTCTAAGGTCTAAGCTAATGTCACATGATGTGGAATCACGTTACAATGTTCAATGAGGCCTAAGCCTGCCTAGGAAGCACCTGAGAATGGGGCCACTAGTGATTGATCATGATCGAGGACGAGGCCGCCTTTTTCAATGGTATTAACATATTAAGCAAGGCCCATTGCATGTCCATCTAGTGAACAAAACTTTTGCTCAATTTCCTCGAGCGAATGAAACTGCCAAATGCATTTTGATGGATTACTTCGCCTCACAGAACTTGATGTGCTTTGCCGTAATACCGGTTTATGTATGAACACTGGTAAGAGAAAAAGACAAGTTAATATGAGAGAGAGAGAGAGAGAGAGAGAGAGAGAGAGAGAGAGAGAAGGAATCTACCTTGTTTGGTATAGGGGGGGTGTCTGGCGTCTGAACAGGATAGAACTTGTAAAATCGCATGTTCTGGAGGCCAATTCTCTTCTCCTCACTCATGTCTTCGATTGCTTTCCTGCGAGCCTCCTTTGCCTGGAAAGAAAACCCATCCATCACCAGGAAGAAAACAGCAGCAATTTCAAGATGGTCTTTCCATTCTCATTCATTTCTTTGATATAAATATGAGTTCAAGACAACATGAAACCATACCTCCCGCTGCTGCTTCTTTGCTTCTCTTACTTGCTCCTTGACATAGTTCTGAAGAAATAAAAGATTATTCACACTTTCGCAAAGAATCAATAAGATTCAAGCAAATAAGAATTAAGAATGGTCTACTATAAGCATCAAATAATTAGGAATGCTATACCATGAATTTCTCTTTCTGATCTTCAGGGAGTTTCTCCTCCTTGATCAGATCATCAGTAAAATCCTACATAGCAAATAACAGTATCGTTTAATTTACATCTGCAAAATTGGTATTAATCACAAGATTAAAAACTCTTTAATGGCGTGTTTTTTTCTTCTAATGATAACCAATAAAGACATCAGAAAATACAGGGAGTACATCGAGTCAATACCTCAACTTCATCAAAACTCCAATCAAATTCGCAAACAACCTGCACAAAGTTTAAATGAGCCCCGATTACAAGACTGACTAAAGAAATATAATTCGAAAAGGTATAAATTTTAACTAGCATGGGTTACTAAACGGAAGCAAGCTAAAAGAATGGAATCAACAATGTACACATGCTCTTTTCTTTCAATTTTATGAGCTATCCACCTCCACATATCACACAGTTATTATCCACTACCAAGTATCACACAATCATTTTGTATGACTATTCGTTGTAGGTAGTTTTCCTCAGGGTAGGCCTAAAAGTGTAATGGATCATTGCAAGTTTCTTGATGGCAATCATATCTACTGCTTAGATGTAATCAGAATCAAAATCAAGATTCATGTCGAAATATACTTGTATCAGCAACATTGACTTTGAAACCTATAAGGAGAATAAAATAAATAAATTGTTCACTCTAAAGCTGCTTAACAATTGACCCTACAATAGACAATAATTTTTTATATCCTTTTGCAAGCTAATAACCAGTTAATGACACATCACTGAGAAACCATCAAAAGCTCCATCAACTGTTGTATTAATGAAGTAAAAGGAGGACGAAGCAGATCGTGTACAGATAGAGCATATACATGATTGGGCTAGCCCGCTTGGCAGGTGCCCTGTACAAAAACCGCCAAGGGTCCAAAAAAAAGCTCCATCAAAGGATCAGTGTTTGTTCTTTAAAAAGGTACATTCTCGAACAAAAACAAGAAAATGGAGGAACTATTCCCAAGAAGCCAAGAAACAATCCAAAGAAGCACAATAGGATGTCATGGCAGTGCAACAAAAACAGCAAACAGACAATGTAAATTAATAATAAAGGGAAAGCTGCCTTACAGGAGGTTCCATGGGGTACATTAATTGAACTGTTGTTTCCAGTTCCGTATCATCCTCCTTCCGAGGATCGTAAAAATCTGCTAGAAGGACAGGTGTTAAAGTAGAAAACTCCTTAAAAAATAGGACATGGGAAAACATTTGGTCTTGTCCAAGGGTGGAATGCAATCCACCCCCTATTTTTAGGGCCTTGGGGTATTTGTTACGCCTCAAATTTGGCACACATCCTCATGGTCCAACAACAAAAATTGTGAAAAGAAAGTTAAAAAAAAAGGAAAATGGTTTTTCTTAGAAGAGAGAATGCTGTGAAAGCATGCCATCCATCTCAGAAAACAAAAAATGGAATTAAATCAAGGCCACAGGGAATTGTTTGATCTTAAAATTTGCAGATTGCCTCGTCATCAGATGAACAATTTACAAATAAATAGGGATTTCGAGTTCTTAAAGGGATAGATCTAGCACCCATGAATTGGAAGCCTGCACTCATGAAGTTAAAACAAAAAACTTTCAGTGGTTTGTATTTGAATTTTTTTAATGGGTTTCTTCTTCATCAGGGCAAGAGAATATGTGTGCCAAGTTTGAGGGCAAAACAAATCTCCCTAAGGCTCCCAAAATGGGGGAGGATGGACCAATGTAGACGTCCACCGAAAGGTGGAGCAAATCTTTTCCCATATGAAGCCTATTTCTCAAAATTTGTCCCCTGAAAAAACACATTGCAATCATAACCGCCCAAAAAACAGTAAGAAATATTTTCATCATACCAGATGTGAAACAGTAACATTAAATGCCTTTGTCACTGAACTGCTCAATTATGACAGACGATTTGGCTATAACTATTCATAAATTGAAAGAAAATGTAATATTGTTAACCCTACTCCAAAATCAATCATAATTAGGAGGGTGGAATAAAGAAACTCACATGGCAGGCAATAATCGTATTTCTTGATGCGATCCGTCTTGAGGTGCTTTAGGGCGGCCCTGCATTAAAAATACCAAATGTCATAAACACTTGATGGACATACCAAACTACAGCAAACCATACCAATCTCAAGGACCATACCAAACTACAGCAAACCATACAATGTCTTCTAGAACTCCAGATTCAGATTAATATCCTGCCTTCTTAATGTCCATTTGAGGAAGTTCTCTACTTTTATATACCATTAATTTGTATTCTTCAGCAGACAAAATTGGGTGGTATCTTGGTGAAAGCAATCTCTCATCCAAACCATAGTACACAGTCACCCAGCTCACTTAGATTTATACAATCAAACTTAAAAGGAAAAAAAAGAAAAAAAAAAAGGAAAAAGAAAAAAAATGATACATAAGAACATATTGAATGCCCACTACATATAGAAAGTCATTTTTACAATATCAACTAAGGCAGGTAAGTTACTCATTCTGAGAGATGATGGACATGAGAACCCGTCAGACTATCTTCAAAGCAAATAACAAACTAGAAGAGCCAACACAGCAAACTACAGAAATTAAATGCTGCTAGCTCTGATATGCAAACGATGTGTTCGGTCTGAGATGTTCAAATGAACAGTCATTCTTATCACCAAGAGACACATTTGGCTAATTAAATAAAACATTGTTAATTATCAAGTTATAAGTACATTCTGGCAACATTCTGGCATACAACCAAAAATCTATCATGTACATCACGAATGTAAATGGCTGCAACAAGTGCTCATAGATAATCACAAATTGCAACGCTTGAATAATGCAACAGACTGGCTTCTAATAGAATGCCCTAAATTTTATAGTTCCCCTAGCTCACCACTTTATGAAGCTGGGTTTCTATGTTCAAAATTTCAATGCAGATAAGCTACTTTTGACCATCACTTATGCTCTTATAGATTAATTGCCGAATGGTAGTTTACATTTCAACAAGCCTAAGTGTTTGCAATTTTCTCATAAATAAAGATAGGGCAATTATAACCTTAACAATAGTGCCACAAGAAGGCCATGAAAGAAATGTCCACATATTCAAGAGTAGCACACAAACGCCTATCAAAAACAAATATTTCTGTTCCAGAACTATGAAATCCTCGAATTCAAATAAAATCATAACTGAAAGAGATGTCCATATCTCATTTATTGAAATACTATAGATCAAGAGCTTTATTCATTCAGATACAAAATCTCATTTCAGGATTAGCCAAAACTTAGTTCATTTCATTATTGATGGATTTTTTTCTTTTAATTTATCATCATCAGAAAATCATAAATACATGTTCAAACCCTCATCTGCACAATGTGAAAACTGAATCCCACTCTTCTAGGACATCTACAAGCTTGTTATACGAAATGATAGGAATAGATGTCTGATTACTCACCTTCTCTGTGTGCAACTCAAAGTAAAGATTTGAGACTTCAACCGCTCCACAGAAATACCTCTATGTTTCACAAAGCTTAAATTAGATCATCTTACACAAGTCGTATACAAAAAATCTGCATCTATTAGAATAAACATTGGTAGCAATATATTTGATAAAATATTTGCATCAAAATTTTTAAGGGGAAGTACCTATCCTCGAAAGGAATGTATGGAACCCAGTCCATTTTCATTTCTTTCATTGGTACTATTGTTTCACCTTCCATTTGCACAGATTTTATCCCTATCTTGTCAGAAGGAGGAAATGGGGAGACCACCTGTCCAAACATTGCCATAAAACAATATGCAAACACACTTAGCATGAAGAAACGGCATATCCTAACACCACAATAAAAAACTTCAACAAAATTATACCAGCCACAAAATGGAGGCAGACAATATAATGTTTTAACAGAATTACACAACTTATAAAGTTAACCACCTTTTAATACATAAGCTCAATATGCCGCGTGCATTATTAATACAATATTGCAAACCACTGAAGACATAATTTTCTGATAAGACCAATATTTTTACATGAAATATATAACTTACATATGCATTTCAAAAGTATGCTAGAATATCCGATACTAATCAAGTAAAGCACATATTTCATAAATCAAGTAAATGAGAGAGATACATTGGCCAAGTAAACTTACAGCCACAACGACAGGAATACAAATGATTTTTTGAGTACCACTGAAGTCGATCATTTGAGCTGCAAAGAATGATGAAAACAAGTTAGTCAATAATAGCAAATTAATCCCCAAAAGGAAGGGAAAACATGTAGTCAAATGATAAAAACTTGAACTTCTGACATTCTGTATGGGTGCAAGGACAAATCAAGATGGTACCATTCATTTAGCTAAACATGTTCCAAACTTCCCATTAAAAAAGCACAGTTGGAATAATAAGGAAAGAACCTGGCACCCTCATACGGGCTGCAAGGGGTGGGGGGGAGGGATACTGGTGCCAAGGAGATGGAAAAAGGTTCTGACTAGTAGTTGGAAGTAGTAGTACGAAGAGATTTTCAATGAGCTTGGTGAGTACAATGACCAGAATTGGATACCAAATTAGAAAATTTCATTGAGAAAATAAACAAGACACACATGCTACAATTAATAATCAATTCTAGATTAAGACAAAGAATAAGGAAATCTGCTGAAGACAGAAACCCAAAATGCTAATGGATGACAAAAACAGCTCTTAATATCTTCTTTGGAATAGTAAGTGGTCAACAAAAACATATTTCAATCAATGCATGAATGGAGTATGTTTCCATTCTGAACAAACCCTGAGTTCCTGAAGATAATTGTGGACTTCATCAAGCATCTACACAAGTCAGAGGGTAAGAAGACGTCTTCAGTTGGATACATTGGAATTTGATGTACGTCCATAGGGGTTAATGAGAAAGCTTGACTGAAGATTTGAAGAGGCAGAAACAATTGTTCAATCTGGGGTGTAGAAGTGCACCATTGACAAACTTGCATTTGCGTATCAATGGGAACGGGAAATTGTTAGAAGAAATTCCAAAGGATTTACTAAAAAAATCCTGTAACAGGACTAGGATGAATCATGGAGTGCATGACACCTTTGAAACTCTACTTCCAAAATGGAAGCAGCCGAAGGGAATATAACTTCAGATTACAATAAGTTCAGAAAGAAGCCTTCTTTAAAAATCCAGGAAAGGATCAATCCAAAAGGATTACTGCCAACCCCAAACACAAAAGACAATAGAAAACCAGTGCATATTACTTTGTCTGCCATCATAGAAGACAAATCCCAAAATTCTAGAAAATAGGCAATCACACAAAGTCTACAATTATGTTATGAAAGTCTTTTGCCTTCTGGCAAATATGCAAAATAGAATTTAGAAATAAACCACTGAGAATAACTACTTAAAGTTTTACCGAAATGTCTTGAATTAATTTCCAAATGCCCACAATAATACACATGATTTTGACTTGGAATAGTAGAAAAATGGTAAAGTTTAAATAGCTGAAGTGCAAGGTGTATTTTGATCAATTTCCCTAGATTTTATCAAGAAGATTCAGAGATAGAGAATAAATCATGAAATGGATTAATATTAGATAAACAAAACAAAAGAAAATTAATAAACCAATCACAAAAGACTCCTTACGTTCTGTGCAGCCAAAAATATACAGAGTCTTCTCATAAAGAACTCCATTCGCTTCAAATGCATTCTGGACAAAAATACGTAAAACAGGCCAGAGTTAAACCCTACTGGTATCCTGCATAAGTAATGGATTTCACATACACTAAGTCTGAAATGCCACAATTTACAATCCCATACTTATAACAAACAAAATCTTAAAACAAACCTCCAGATTGGAGAAGTTCCAGTTGGTCTTGTATACAGAATCCAATAGATCCCACTGTCAAACAAATTATAGAATCATGAGAAGAAAAAGACGAAATGGAACTGTACCCAATCGAATATCATGAAAAGTAGGGGTCTATAAGCATGCTGACATGCAGGTGTATGCACATGCACTTAAATATGTACATGTGCAAACAACATCTAGACTTACATATATGTATTTAACTGCTATTCACCTATAAATTATTCATCTATGAATAAAATTTGCATAAATACACAATCAAATTCGAACATCCAAATGGTTGTCCACAAGCCATATGTTAACAAATATACACATAAAAAATAGGAAATTTAACACTTCACCCATATGTTTTGATTTAATTTCAAAATACCCATAAAAACACACATGGTCCTGAGTTGGAATAGTTGCAAACTGGTAGAAGGTTAGATATTTCATCTCTAATGAGTATTTTGATGAACTTTCCCCCAAAAAATTTGTAGTCACGCGAAAACTGTCAAGTTTAATATCTGGTTTTGTCACTAGGCCTACAGGAGAGAAGCATAACATAAAATCCAAGTCCCAAAAAAAAAATTCAAGTCCACGCAAACCTCAGTGCCAACGGGGAATGCTGCTTTCCATAGATCTTCCTACATAAACGATATACACAAGATCTGTTATAAACATATAAAAAATGTATGTTTTAACCATCAATAAATGAATGAACTGCCAAAACTTCAATGTATTCACATCAAATTATAAACCTACTAGAAATAGCAACAAGCTAATCAATATATTTCAATACACAACCACATAACAGCATTATACTTTGTAAATTAGAGGAATATAATTAATGTTAAAGCTTCAACCATACTTGGGATCCAACCCAAATTAATAAAGCATCCATAGCAACATGGCATATAAACTTTGTCGATTAGAAATTTTAGAACAATCATTATCATCATTATCATTATCATACTTGGGATCCAAATCAGATTAATAAAGCATCCATAGCAACATGGCATATAAACTTTGTCGAGTGAAAATTTTAGAACCATCATCATTATCACCATCATCAGAGCCTTTTCCCAACTATTTGGGATTGGCTACAAGAATCTTGGTCTGCCATTCTGCTCCGTGAAGGGTCATATCCTTAGTGGGACCTTAAGTCCGAATATCTTTTCTCACTACTTCCAGCAGATCATCCTGGTTCAAGCATTTTGATCCCAATTCCAGGAATTCCAAGACATTGGGCCACAAACATAGTTTTAAAGAGCGTACCGCCCAGCGCCTAGGTGGCCACCTAGGTGGTCTAGAAGGCCTGGGCGCATCACACAGGCCTAGGCGGCCAAACTAGGCAGATATCCCTGGGTGCCCGCCTAAGCGCCTGCCAGAACCCGCCTAAGCATGGGCGAGGTAGAATAACGACTCCTTGAGGGTATTTTTGGGTTATTTTTTTAATACTAATGGAGCAAAATTGTGGGTTTTAGGTTCATTTGAAAATTAAAACCCATTAGAGGCTATTTTAGATAGAGAAAACCCAATAAAAAAAAAAAAAAAAAATCTATTAGGCTGCCCAGGTTATGGGCAGCCTGGATCCCCCGACCACCTAGGTGCCGCCTAGCGCTTTTTGAAACACTGGCCTCAAATAAACTAACAAGATAAAACTTTTTCCATAATTGGTACTCCAATATACATAAATGAGAGCCATAATCACAATGAAAATCTCTTCACGCATTAACCATTCTGACAAATTTCAGCATTACAGCAAAGAAAGATGTGACAATTACAAAGGCCAACAGTTGAATGATGGCTTTTAGACTACAAAGAAAAGCATCATTGGCTAGATTTTTAAAGACCAATTAATAGTATGAATAGAAGAAGACTCAAGGTGCTGATGCAAACCTATGAAGCCTACAACTTTTGGACTTCACAATTCATTCTTATAACTGAAAAGTTCGCAAAGTGCAAACAGGTTCAGTATTCCATAGTTGCAACGGACATCATAGAAATGAGAAAACAAATTGCCTCACTAGGAAAGAAAAAAACTAAAAGCATAAGAAGTTGGGTTACAGCAAGTACTCTAAAGGAGGAGAGAATCTTGCTGAACATGCTTTGTTGTAAAGGGCCACAATTTTTTTCATTCACAAGATTATTTTTTCAGTTGCTAAATGAGAGTGGACCTAACCAGAACAGATCAGTCAAGCAAATTAACAAAACTTCCACTCAATATAAATTCCTTCAGATTCCAGAGCCAGCAATATTCCTCCAATATTATATTTTGACTCGAAAAGCTGTTTTATTTTTTCAGTAACCCAGAGGTTTTCAATTCAAGATTCATTTTCCCCAAAATATGGAGCTTACTACTGGTATTACAAAATTGAACCTAAAACAAGTTCAGGAGCTAGAAAAGCAACAACCAGGGAAATACAAAATAGGAAAACATCAAAAGAAAATAAACTCATAAAGAACCAGATTATTTTAATGTATTGGAACAATTAAGTCCACATTATGCAGAAAATCCACTGAACTCAAAAGCATTCCAAATATTATCAAATAAATTTGAGTTTAACAGTGTGCATAAAAAGCAAACAGGCAGTTAAAACATGAGGCCACCAAAAAAATAAGCAATTTAAAAGGCTCTACATACAAAATCAAACATTTCTATCCCAAAATACAGAACACTATGCATAAATCAAGAGCTTCTAGGTGAAAATTTCATCCCAACCTGAGTGACAGAAACTCATAATGGAACAAGTGAATAATTAGAACCTCCATATGTTACCAAGTTTCAGAGAAAAAATTTAGAGGAAACATACACAACAAGTTACATTTCGGTTTTCTACAACAATATAAAAAAAAAATTGGCACAGGAATTTAACATAAATATGCTTATGTATTTGTCCGAATTTAAATAATTTGATCAAGAGGAAAATCTATATTTATATCCATCAGTTCCAGACCATATATTTGGGCGAAAATCAAAAAGACCACACATTTAATCCGTCATTGGTTGCAAAATTTTATCGATTTCTACCAGATTGAACAATATCATTAAAGGATGCAAACTAACAACTAATTAATTCATCTCCATTACCAAATTCCTCTGATCCTCTATGATTTCAGGCTCTTCTATAGGTTTAGGAGCAGCAGGAGCCTTGACTCTCTTTCCACCTCGGGAAGCTTTTGTTGAACGCTTTGGAAGCTCTTCAGGTGAATTGCTCTCGTTTTTCTTTCTCTTATCTCCCCTTCTGCTCTTAGGCTTTGCCATTACTTACAGAGAGAGAGAGATTGAAAATATTTTAACAGGATAGATAGAGAGGGAATTTGAAATCAAGAGAGAGAGGGGGGGGGAGATAGGGAAGATTTAAAAGGTCGAGAGAGAAGGATTTGATGGGGATTTTGAAAGGAAGAGAGAGAGAAGGATTTGATGGGGATTTTGAAAGGAAGAGAGAAAGAGAGAGAGAGAGAGGGATTTGTGGCGTATAGGGAACGCGGCGCTCCTGGTTTGAAGAGAAGAGAGAGAGGACGAAGTGAGAATGGAGGGGTGAATGAGCGATTTATAGCAGCCTTGGGAACAGACCAGATTCAAAATTTTCGTAACAAATGACGAAAATCACCCCGGAGTTTTGTACAAATGACTATGACGTCCTATTTCTTTTTTAAGAATACAAACAGAACCCGTTTTCCAGACATATCTATGGCTCTATGACAGTCTTGTTTTTCTAGAAATCAGGCGGTATAGACGGTATTGACCGATGGGTTTAATCTGAGCCGTTAAATTTTAGAAATCTTGTAAGAATAACAATGTAGAACTTTAAACATTGCATGAAATCATGTGTTCCATAAAGATACTATCTCTAGTAGAAAACTATCACAAGAATAAAAAAGATCCTATCTCGAGTTAAGATTCAGGGCATGTGACCTATAATGTAAGGTATCTTTTTATTTTTTAAAGAAAAAAGTTTTTATAATGATGCAACCTTATAATATAAAACTACAGATACACTTAAAAAGTGCATCGGAAAATGTAGTTTTAATGTTGAAAAACTCTTTGATTGATCATCTCGACATCAAGATGATGACCATGAAAAATAAAAAGATTTTAGGTCTCATAAATAATGCCTTTTACAACTATTATCTACACCGTCCATTTTTAATATTTTCATATGTTTATAGAACTACTTGATTTTAATTATTTTTTAAATTTAAAATTTTATAATTAGATATAAAAATAGATTTTAAGATAATCTTAAAAATATTTTATATCAAAATTATATACCATGATAAATTTTGAAAGTACACTTATCTCTACAGGTACGGATGCAACCGTATGCCAACTGCACCGTTTTTTTTAAAAGTGGAGATCCTATCTTTTTGTTTAAAGAGTTATTTTAGAATAAGAAAATGGTTTGATACCAATGCAAGGGTTGAGAGTTCACTCCATCCAGATCCGAAACACAGAATTCGAATCCAATTCGGATCCGATTATGGGTCTGAAATTTGGATCGAATCCGGTCGATTTAAAAAATTGATATAATATATATATATATATATATATATATATATATATATAGTAAAAAATATCATGTCAGCCTAAGGGCGTACTGCTCCAGTAAAACGCCAA